GAAATTAATATTCCTTTATTTTAGGTTATTTTTGGCTTTTTTTTCCTTCTATGAAATGAAGTTTTGTACTATTAGACTTACAATATTTTGTCTATATATGTCTAAATCAATTAGAGTTTATTAGTTGACATGTCACTAATAGATACACAATTTTATTTAATTAATAATGATATTTTCTAAAAAAATGGAATTCCTCTCTTGGTATATTTAAGGAATACAAGCTGGTTTTATTGGTTAATTAAAAGATATTGTGTTTGGAATTATTATGAATTAATTAGCAAATGGGGCCTAAAATTAGCTGTGAATAATACAAAGAAATGGGTTGGGATTTGGTTATATTTAGGGTTTTCCCATGTGATTTTGTACCTCTTCTTTCAAAGGGGATTTTGCGACTCCCAATAAAGTTGTGTTTTTGTTTCAATTCCTTCCCTCTAATTAATTTTCAAATTTGTAATGAACCAACCAAGTTCCTTTCTCCCAAGTGTGTGTTGGTTGGGTTTTATGGATCTAAACCATTCGTATTTACTTTTGATAAAATTCGACAAAATTATAAGTTTATAAATTTGTCCTTAAAAGTTGTAACTATCTCTAGAAAGTATCTAATGAATTTTAACATTTTACTTTTGTGTTTAGGTTTTTAATTTTTCTTTCTTTTTTTCTGATATCCATTAATATTCASGCTGGTTGATTCTATTACATTATGTTGTTAAGGAAATTAGGTAGCACCATGAGTTTGAACATTTGAAACGTAGGTCCAACATCAATAGCCTGAGCTGTGGGATAGATTAGAGGATATTGTGATGTTTGGGATTGTGAAGCGGGGTGTAGGAATGTATAGCACGGGATTGGGTAACATGTGTTTGTGGTACATGAATGTATAGCTTGGGTTTGAGTTATTCCGTCTTTTTATATATATTTTTGAACTATTTACTCCTTCTTTTTCTACAATATTGGTATTTCATTTTAAATTTGTTATTTCATAATTTATGTATTCCATAGTTTAATATATTTATTTTCTTTTATTCATTCCGTGCATTCTAGAATTTAAATTCAATCAAACCATTGAATCCAATGGACCAACCCATGATACGTTAATAGATATCTAAATTTTAAAAATGATTTAATAAGTTTATGAACTTAAATCTAGCCGAATACGTCCATAAACTTTAAAAAGTATCTTATAAATTAGAAATTTTATTAGACACACGAAATTGAAAGTTAGTATACCTATACTTAGATACGAATTTATATGAAAAGTTTAAGGATTTATTGCCCACAACATTAAAAGTTTATGGATTAAGCTTTATAATTTAAACTTAACTTTTTCATATATTAAACTTTGACGTGGTTAGACTTCAAGTGTAACCTAAAGTTAAAAAAAAAAAAATCTAAGCTCGTGAAGTCTATTAACCCCTTAAATTATCAAAGTTACATCCACTCAAATTTCTAATTAAATCTGTCTCCTTTTTTCCTATTAACTTCGACAAATCATAAATCCACAACTAAATACTATACAAATCCAAATTCTAATAAAACATTTTTTTGTAAAATGTCCCTAGCATTAATCACACAAATTCATATCACAAAATTTCATAAACTCGTGCTTAATTTATAAATAAATACCATGAACACTAACCTGATACAGCTCAAGAGGTTAAGATATTGTCTATGTTCGATCAAAAAGTCATAAGTTCGAATTTCTCCACTTCTTTACATTAAAAGGATATTAAGCAAATACAATAATTATTTAGATTTTTTTAACTACAAAATTTAGCTGCAATCCAAAAAAYAGGGGAAGAGAGAGAAAAGAAATAGGAGAGAGAGAGAGAGGGAGTTGGATTGGATGGCACAAATTAGTTAGGATAGGAATGATGTGGAAGTTTGAAAAGGATGTATGTTTGCAATATACTTTAGGTGAAAGTGGGTAATTGGAATGGAAAAAAAAAATGAAAAGAGAAAAAAAAAATCTTTGAAATAAACTCTTTGATTAGAAGGCAACCAAAATTTGACATGAAAGGCTTTACAGATCAAAGKTTGGATCTTGTTGTCCACAGCTTTGGAGACCACTGCATATTAAACCACACCCTTTCTTTTACTTTCTCTCCTTCRAACATATTTCTTATCTTCATCTTCTCTCAATTTAATTAATTTTCGTTAGAATACTATTTTAATTGCTATACTTACAATTTTTATTCATTTTGATTTATCTACTTTCAACTTTTTATCTATTTATGTCTGAGTAGTTTCAAAACGTTCATTTTATCTTATTTTTTTCAATTACAATTTCAACCCGACACTACATTTAACATATTTCTTAAAATACAACCGTAAATTTATATTAGAGGATTTTCGTTGTGTATAAAATTTGTCTTTRATCTTTACAAATAGGGATAAAAAATCGTATGACTAAAACAAACCAAAGTTTAAATTAATAAAGGTKGAAACTATATGAAMTTTTAATTATTAATTTTTTTTAAATGAAAATTAAGACCCCACTTTTTCCACACCGATTAAGTAACCCATCAAATTGGCTATCCTAGCTACTACCCCTGCCCTGCACAAAGGGTGAAAATGATGCATGTTTCTGTTTCATGTCTGTTTGTTTGGAAAGAAAAGAAAAGAAAAGAAAAGAAAATGAACTGTGGTTTTGCCGGAAAAGTGTTCAAGCTAATAGTTATTTCTCTCCGGCAGCAATGATTTGCAATGCATGAAGACAGTGTTGTCTTAAAGCAAAACATGTCCCTACGTTACAATGTCCAAAAGAAAAATCTCTCTCTCTCGGTAGAAAATCTGCCTTTGCTTTTAATCCTTGACGTTCTCGGGTTTTCTTTACGCCTCAACAAACATAAACATAGTTCAAGTGATCATATATTGTTATTTAGTAATTCTTCCGTTGTATTGATAGAAATATATCTATCACGCTAATTTTAATTTTTCTCGAGGTTCGAATTTGCACCATGCTTGAATTGTAATACTAAAGAAAAAGAAGTAACGATTGTCCCTCTTATCACCGAATTTCTCATCTTCAAGAGCTAAAATCAACGACGGAAATAATGGGATTTTCTCGGGCTAGAAAGTGAGAGAAAGTGTGAAAGAAAATTAAGCCAAACAGAAAATTAAAGAGAGAAAATCTTTAGTTATTCTTGATGTAAACCCCCAAGACACTAATTCCAAAAGGCTAATATAAACTTTTTACCATCACCCCCATATCTTCTTTCTCTTTTTTTTTGGTTAATTATTATTACAAAATTAATCCACTGGCGATGGCCTGATTCGTACTGAAATGCGTTGTTTCATAAACTGGAAGTTCTTGGCGATACCTTTCGATTCCGATCGATGAGAGATTATCCAATTCGAACAAATCAGAGCTCGAGCAACTCACTGCATCGTCGTCGTCTTCTTCTTCTTCGTCGTCTTCCTCTTCATCTTCGTCGTCTTCTTCTCTGTTTATATATACATCGCCATTGATCTTCTTTTGGTAACTGTTCATCAGATCCTCTGTAGCTTCATCTGCTCGGCAATGGTCGTTCCTCAGAGCGTTTCGCAGAGTTGTCGCTGCCGCCATTAGACCTAGTTCGTCTTGCAGGCTTTTATGTCCGCAAGGCCGAGAGTCCTCGTCTAGTATCACGCTCACGGGGCAAAATCTGACCGATCGTTTTGTGCTGCCATTGTTGATGAGTTTCTCGCCGGACGACGGTGTTTTGCTGAGACAGGACCTGGAGAACGAGGAGGCGGAAGAACACGTCGATCCTTGAGCGGACTTGGATTTTCTCATACAGGCGTCGTTCTGTTGGGCGGAGTTTGTGAATTTTTGCTTCTTTGGACTGCCGCCGTTGAAGAGGGAGTTCAGGAAGGTCGCGAAGCGGCCGCCGGGAGAGATTGGCTGCTTCACTTTCTTCAGATCGCCGTAGATTTTTAGGGCTTTCGATTTCGTCTTCACGAAGCCGTTTTCGTGCTTCGGCTTCTGATTGGGGACCGAAACTTTAATCGCGTCGCCATGGCCGTCGAATTGAGGCTTCTCCGTCCTTATCGGCCTCGGCCTCAGCATTGTATAAGAAGACGACCTCGATTCCGACTCGGACGAAGAAAATCCCCCTCCACAACTGGATTCAGAGGAACTCGAACTCGAATTCGAATTCATCAATTTCTTAAAACCACGATTGCGATCGCGATCGCGATCTCGAACATTCCTCGCCTTCCGATCGAAATCCGCCATAGAACTCCGGCGAACCACGACCTTCTCGCTCACCTTCTTCTCCATCCACTTCTCGATCATACAAGCGCGTCGGAAATTGAGTCCATCATCTTCACCGTCTTCCAAGCCAATGCTCTGCTTCTTCTTCCTCATAGTCTCTCTGTACAAGACGACCTGCTCTTCGCCCTGGACACCGTTGGTTTCGTCGATGGAGCGATAAATGGCGTCAAGAAGAGAAGAAGAAAATGACGGATTCTGCCTCCGGTGGCGGCCGTGTCGATCTTCTGGCATCTGTTGGTCCCAAACATCCATGGAAAAACAATATTGCTTAAATAGAAGAAGCTACGAGTGGAAACAATAATGGCTCGGCCTGGCTGCTGTCTGGTTGAAAGAGCGTCAAAAACTGGCAGAGGAGAGAGATAAGATATGATTGTGATTATGGAGGAGGGAGAACAGAGTGCATTAATGGAGTTGTGAGAGAGAAAGAGGAGAGGAAGGGAAGAATGGGGACATGGGAGAAGGAATCATGAGAGGGGAAGGCCACGCCTCAGCCTCAGCACAGGAGAGAGAAAATGATTGAGAAGAGAGAGAGAGAGAGAGAAGAGAGTTGTGTGATTCAGCTTCAGACGCACTTATATGGGGGTGACGGCCATGAGCGGAAGAGCCAGAGCGCCAATGATGACGTGGAATTTAAGGAAAAAAAATAATATTTCTATGGCCAATTATACTTTTTGAAATTCTATTATAAATATTTTATCGTTTATTAAAAATTCTCAATTAAGCCCGATAAACAAAATGCTAAAATTTAGAATATTTAATATAGTATGAAAAATACTGACTACTTTAACGATGGGACTAAATCTTATCTCCCAATTCATTAATTTTAAAAAAAGTCTATGTTTTTACATTTCTGTCAAATATTTAATAGTGGTAAGTACAAGATTTCTCTTCACCATCAAATTAAGGAGTCACGTATTTTTCATACATTATATGTGAAAGGAGATTTGAATTCATGACCTTTATGTTGAAGATAGGTGTCTTTTAACTTGAGTTAAGAACTATGCTAGTCGGCTAAAATTTATAATAAATTAGTTGATGGTTAAAGTATTACTTTACTAATATAATTAAACTTATTTGTTTATTTTACTTATTTATTTTTTTATAATACAACAAGTGAGGTGGGAGAATTCAAACTCACAACCTCATAGTTAGAGATAGGTGTCAATACCGCTGAACTAAACTCATATTGACATAATTAAACTTATTATGGACATACAATTTGGATGATATTTGACACTTTACGAAATCTATCTCATTCATCTCCAAAACTCAATCCATCCATTAGCAAAATTCTTATTTTCCAAATGGCGTGCTCATGTATCCAAATATGTTGATGAAATTTGAGACAACTTTTGTTAATAAATTTTAACACAACAAAAAAAGGAACTTAATTGAGAATTAGACTAAATTAAAATTTWAAAAATGTCATTAAAGACCAAATCTAGGAGCACCTTACAAAAATTAAGGACTATTTAATATATTTTAGCCTCTTTCCATTTAAATTCTTCTAAATCTTTTTAGATATTATTATTTTAAAATTAAGGTACACGACTTATGTACCTTCCTRCTTGTTTCACTAAGTTACTATTTCTAATAATTTCAATAATTTACCTCTTAAAAAACTACCATCTAAAAATTACCGTCACAACTACTTTCTATGTACAGTAAGCAACAAAAAGGTTAAGGAATGGTTTTTCTCAWGTTTCTGTTAAATAGTCCAAAAAACTAATAACAACAAATAGATAGTTTTTTTTTTCTTTCTTAATTTTTTTAGTTCAACGGAGTGTTAAACTTCTGACGACCACCTTTATACATTGTAAGTAATATTTTAACCACCTGAATTATGTTCATGTCCGTCTCTACAATATAATATTGAAAATTTGAAAAATCACATAAATAAATTAATTGATACTTTTTAAGTTCTCATTATTCCTTAAATTCTTCATATATATGGGAAAGAAAGGGAGAGGAGAAAAGAAACGTGATGATAGTCATTTTACATGAATTGTGAGCTACAAGGTGTAGCTTAGCCTAAAAATGATGTTCCTAAAGAGTAAATGATACCATCAAAGAGAGAGTGTGTGCAAGGCTACAACCTATCAAATAAAGCGTTTAGACCAAAGTTTAAACCAAAAAGTTTAACGAAGTTCTGCATACCATTGTCTCTAAAATTTGAGCCACGATAACACGAACAAAAGTTTAAGTTAATAGGAGAGATGATACTTTTTCTTGCAGGACCAGCATTAAGATTCTTTGATTCGAACGTTTATTTCTCTAGTTAAATTCTAGAAATGGGATCGGGAATTTAGATTCCAATATATATAAGATTCGAGATGGAGAAAATGTCCGCTATAACTATAGTGTTAGGACTAAGATTGTTTTTTAAAACATGTGTGATGCATTATGAAGTATATTATTATTAATTATTATTATTATGATGTTAATGTTTTTGCTAGGTGTGGTGTGTGTTGTTTGTGAGTAAAAAAGGTCAACTAATGCGGCAGCTTCTCATTATAATTCTCTCTTTGGGCGCATGACAATCTTTCCTGTGGGGGACTTGTAACCACTTTGCCCACAGTCCAAGGGATCCTTTAAATCCCTACGACCAATAGCCTTTCAAGCAATAAATATGAATAATATTTTAGATCTTTGTCCGCAATACATGGGGTGGAAATTCCAACTCTCAATCTCATAGATAGTTGAATACATGTATTTTAACCGCTGAACTATATTTTACATCTCTCTCCTACTTATAAAAAAATTAATGTTGGTTTAGTAAAAGATGAGTGCTGACAGATAAACACTTTAGTATTTTTTTTTTTTGTCTTTATTTTTCTCTTTTGTGTGTTTAAATCAATTTTAGGGTTTGCCAATTTGCCCTAAGGAATTTTTGGAACCCTAGATTGCAATATYCAATCCTCCCCTTTTTGAGTGGTGGAAGAAAAAACAAGTCCTAACGAACACTCATATTCACACACCCTTTTCCTTTTTGTGTTCTAATTAGCAAAGTTCGATTTAGGGTTTTGGCCTTTCTTTCTCGCATATGACATAATATGGTTGGCCCTCTCTAAACCTAGCTATCCTTTTATTCAAAGTTCGATTTTTACCGTACCCTCACTCGTCATATATTCCTTCTGTTCTTTCATTTGTTATTTTTTGAAATAGGTCCCAAGTATATTAAATACATGTACCGATATTATCTCTGAAACACAGAAGATCGAGAAGAAAAGAAATGACAAGTATTATAAAACACAAACTAATTGAGTAAATAGAGAATAGTGTCCTCTCTAAATAGGAAAGAGGAATGCATGACATTATTCAATCATGTCCCTTAATTGTGGCCAAGTATATATTATGCATCCCCAATCATGTTAATGTGACTTAACTACTGTGAAGCATGATCATCTCCCTTTTTTATTTTTATAAGCCAATATTTGGGATCTGTCTTAGATCCAAATAAAGATTCATCATGGTGTTAGATTTCATCAACTTTGCTTTAGATCTTATACTTGATGAAACAGTGTGATTAATAAAGAGATAACTCACTCACTCTCACACTCACACACACAAAAATAATAATAACAATAAAAGTGTATGCATATATTAAGTTGGGTAACTTTGTATTATAATTATAATATGGTTAATTAATTTACCATTTCAATTTATTTCCTCTTACTATATGTGTGTATATATCATGATTAATGTCAAGCATTTTTAGCCTTTCAAAATGATTTGGATTTCGCAAACAGATTCCAACAGTTAATCATTATTAATGGGTATCAAAGTAGAGAGATTTACCATTATACAAACTTTGACATTTAATTTTTACTTTCAAAATCTGTATTATATACAAAGTTAGAAAATGAAAGATAAGTCCAACATTTTAATCATTTGTGTTAGAAAACGACGACGTTAGTGATACTCGTTGCTTTTTCTAAACAATGACTAGCGCATGGCTCAAACTTAAGACCTCAAAATCTCGAGTGGTTATMTGTGATGTCAGAGTAGAGARGAGGGGTATATGAATGAATCGATAGCACAAATGAGAGGGATCCTGAGACTATAGAAGCATGGTTAAGAAAGCTTAAAAGAATGATAGTTACTTACATAGACTAACAAGGTACACCATTCTTTTCGGTAATTCAATCATAAAAACCCCAAAGTTAGGCTCACTCTTTATCTCTGTTTTTCTTAGTTGTGCATTTAGAGTTCGTCAATCAAAGTTGGGTCATATTTAGAAAGAAGTTTGACTACAAATTCCGTTGCTAGCCGGGATCTGTGTTCAGCGCGACTCGTTCTAAGAGACCAGTGGGTGTTTTGGGACAGATCATGTCATTGTCAGTGTTTTAGGGTTTGAAGGTTAAAAAACGACTCCTAGAAGAAATTAAATCACCCTCCAAATTGTTCATTATTTGAAATGTACTAAAAAAGAGAGTGGAAAACAGTGGCATGGGAGCTACCCAATTGAGTAGAGTTCCAACATTGATAATCAATAGTTCCATTTGAAAGCTTTCTTTCTTTTGGAGGTCTTTAATTAACATTAGCTGGTTTATCTCTTAATTAATTGCCCTCCAACTAACCCCCCACTCTTTTTAAATATATGATCAAAATGATCAAAGCATGCATCTTGATGTGCACGAAAATAAGATGAAATCGTTCAACATTTTGACTATGTGATCTTGTAAAGTCGATTTATTTAATTATGATTATCTCAAATTTGATCTTCTATAATGTCAACTCAACTCCATGACGACATTGAGTGGAGCTCTTGTCACGGGCAAGAGTTGAGTAATTGAGATGTGGCTCGTGTAACAATCCATTGAATTTAAATTTTTAAATGTATGAAAAAATGTGAAGAATGAAAGAATGTCACTTTTATACATTACCTTATTTGTGTGTTTGATTTGATGCATAGCTGGACGAGGTGCTACGTCAGCATGTGAGTCGAGCCACGTACACTCCAAAGCGCTTTAGTTAGTACTTAATCCGGATTTGTGTCTAGACAAACTTAATTAATAGGGAATAACCTTATCTTGCGTACCTTTATGAGGAATGGACCTCACTTTTATAGGGGGATATTTTTTTTTATATCCATGAGTGTTCAGATCAACTTACGCACACTTTGACTATAAAACACATAGGAATTAATTTCTAAAGYAAGTGGCAAGCACGAGATTTGAACTAATTCTCTCTCACTTTATCCTGGCCTCTTTGGACTAATGAGCTACCCATGATGGTTCCTTTTATAGTGGAACTTTGAAAAACACACCTATCCAATTATTTTGGCACGTCGTATCATGTTCAACGAATTTTACGCGGGTGGCATTCGTCTTTTCATATCGGTGTCGAATTGTGTTTTTCCTTGATCAGTTAGAGATGACTTTGCCTAACCCGTCTCATTTTTGACCTAAGTTAAGGCCTATGAAGCATGCAATAGGGATAGGGAGGATATATAGAATAATGTAAAGCAATTCATGGATTCCCTTTTCTATGGAGTTGGCCACATGATCCTTTGTTGTGCGTACGTGTGTG